TTAGAATAAACTTTATACTGGGTGGCTCCAGCACAATTGGAACTGTATACCAGCTCCAGTTCCGTCTTATGAGACTATTTCTGTGCTGCTCCCCTTCTGATAGCTAATTTTATGCAATTTATTATGTCTAAGGAGCACTCAAAATTAGCAGCAAGACCTTCAGGAATGTGACCTTATATCCCAGTTATACAATATGTTTTATAGCATGTTTATTTTATTTTATTTTTTTGCTTTTTGAAATGGTTTGGTCATGGCAAGGGTCACAAAGACAGAGTAGAGATGTAGTAATGACTCCGTGGACAAGGGCGAACATTTTTGGACTATTAAATATCTCTTCCGAAGGTTGGGTTGTGATTCATAGCACAAAACCGATCGTTTTGTTGAAGCTAAAAGATAAAAATTAGTGGTGAAAGCTTAGCTTAGCATGGCACAACAGCTGTCCTGTTGTGAGTGAAGAGTGTTGTGTGTGAAGAGTGACAAAAGTGATCTCTCTTCTTTCTCCTGCTAGTGGACTGGCTCCCAGAACAGAACTGGAGATTCTGAGATAATAATTGCATTGTATTTTATGCTAGTCCCTGTTATGCAAAACACCATTTCTTCGAATAATCTTGTGGCATCTTCTCTGCTGGGTTTGGGAAGATTGTCAAGAACAAACTTTTCCTTAGAATTTTGGTGTTTAAGGTATACTATAAACCTTGGATTTAGATTCTGTAAGTGGGATCTTTTATGATTGCTTTATGGATTTTAAATGTTTGAAAACTGCCCCAGGGCCCGAGGGTCAGAAGGTTAGATGACTCATTGAGAGATTTTGGTCACCACAGTATAAAAAAAGATGTTGAGACTCTAGAAAATGTGCAGAGAAGATTAGGGGACTGGAGGCTAAAACATACAATGAATGGTCGCAGGAACTGGGCATGGCTAGTCTAGTGAAGAGAAGGACCAGGGGAGACAGCATGGCATCTTCCAATATTGGAGGGGCTGCCACAAGAGAGGAAGGGGTCAAGCTATTTTCCAAGGCACCCAAAGGCCAGTCAAGGAATAATGGATGGACACTGATCAAGGAGAGATTCAACCTATAAAAAAGGAGGAACTTTCTGACAATGAGAACAATCAACCAATAGAACAGAAGTAGCCTTCAGAAGTTGTTGTGAGCTGCCCAGAGTCCCTAGGGAGTGGGCGGCATACAAATTTTATTAAAGTTGCAAAGTTCATCCCTGGAGGCTTTCAAGAGGAGACTAGATACCCTCTGTCAGAATTAGTGTAGGGTCTCCTGCTTGGGCAAGGGGTTTGACTAGAAGACCTACAAGGAGCTGTCCAACTCTGTTAATCTGTTAAATCTCTTTTAATTATTTTGTTTAGGTTTATCCTTGATGGTACTGTTGGTTGCAATTCTTTTAAAGCTACCCGCTGATGACATAAATGAATGAATGAGTCTGTGAGTCTGTAGTCTTTAAACATGGTAAATAAAGAAACAATATACATTGTGAACTTTGAGCCATTGTCATCTAGCTGTAATGTAGAACATACAATAGCATACATTCTTTTTAAAAAAAACAACAACTCTTGGTCTATCCCAAACTGAGACTTTTCAATCCTGTTCAAGTAATTCCTTTGTTATCCGGATGTTGGCTTAAAACTCAAAGACTCTCTCCATCCAATTTCCCCATGCGAGGACCGATACTGCTAACTTCCTCTGAAGGATCAGCAGTTGCCTAGGAGAAGATGTTTTTTTGGCTTAGCGAGACAGGTTAGTTTCCTCTTTTTGTTTTTATTTTTATTTTTTTGTCCAAAAGAGAGTGCCAGATCATCTGCTTGGGTTGATTTACATCCACCACCAAGGAGCCTTTTGGCTCCAAAATGTGTCTTTTGTAAAGATGATGTAAGCCTCCTTGCATTTCCCCATTCGATGGCATTTTTTGAGTTGACCATTGAGAAGAAGAAGGAAGCAAGGATGCACAGAGCAATTCTGGCTACATTTTTAGACGGAATTTCAACTGGGGGTTGATTTATTCTCCTGTTGCAGGAAACGTGAGAGGATATCTTAGTCAGCGGGATGTCAGTTGTGCACCTATTTTGGCAGAAAATGTAGCGGATTGATGATGGGAATGCTAAATGTAGCCAATCCCGTTACAAAATCTGTCCAAATTTCTCCACGTTTTCGTCTTTTCCAGATTCCTGTGTCCCACCCCCACCCCCTTTCTCATTCTCAGGGTGCTTCAATATTTCTTTCAGAATTTTTTTTTGGGGGGTAATGATGTGTCAAAATTTATTTTATGGTTGCAAACTGATGATGCTTTCCTTTGAGACTGAACCGGAATATGGAAAACTGGGAAGTTGGAAGATCATTGGAATTGTATCAACAATAACTGGACGCAGGGGTCTTGCTTAACTGCCTAAGGTCATTTGCAAGATTCCTAGGCCCATAAATATTTCATCAAAATACTCTTCTTCTTTGAGACAAAAAAATAAATAAGCATTTCCCCTCCATCAGACCAAGAAGAATGAAAAAGAGCACTTAAGAAATGTTTAGCACACAACCCTTGTGTTACTGCACTTTGAGTTTTGAGGATCAGTTTTATCTTGCAAGGTTTGGTGATGATCACACCATATCTTCAAGCCATCCAGCTACTTCTTGAACTCTCCACTGATTGTTTTGTAGACATCCTGACTGTGCAATCTTAATTCTTTTCATAATTATGGACGCTGCGGCCAGTTCTCTATGGCTCTCCCCTATAGTCCACATCTAGTCCCCACAGATTTCTTTGCTAGATTGCTGAGATTGATAGAGATAAATGTTGTCATCCTTCCAAGGGCATCAAAGTCAAGAAACGAGAGGAGCTAGGAATATTGGAATCTATTTTAAGCAGGCTATTGCAACATGAGTTGTAAGTCTATCAAAGCTGCCCTCTAGTGCAACTGATATCAAACTCAATCAAGATGGAGTTGTTTTGAGTTTCTCATTTCTCCACTTTCTCATTTCCCAGAAGATTTTTTCATCCCAACATGTGTCTCAAGTCTTGCAGGATATGGCTTGGAGCTCTTCCTTGTTGCTTTTGAACAAGAGGATATGGAAGCAATTTGCAACAAGAACATAACAATGCTGTCCATGCTCCAGTTTGTGGAATGACTTCTTCAGGATGTGATGTCAATCCTGGATCCCAGCAGCAGTAAGAATGGGATGTGGCAAGGTTCCCTTATGTTCTTCCTGATACTGGATAAGGGAGTGGTTGGTTTTAATCTTTTCCAGCTATGGCATGGCATGAAGCTTTCGTACCTAGAACGTGTAATATAATACAAGTAAAAAACGTAGCTAATTTTCGGGTTTCCAACTGGGGAAATGATTTTTTTGTTCCCCTTGAATGGTCTTAGCTAAATTATTGGCATGACTCAAGGAACATTAAGAGCACAAGTCAGCATTCTCCATGATGAAGAGCAACCAAACATCTGACCAACATCCCCTTGTCAACTGGCTTCCACCAAGAGATGCTTTTTTGAGCATTGAAATTTAACTTGCCATACTTCTGTTTCTGGCACAGTGAAATGTTTGTCTCTTGCTCAATTCTTTAACTATGTTCTCAGTTTCTTCTCATGACTTCATACTGCATTGCTCATGACTTTTCTCCTAGTATCCTTCACTAGGAAAGGTTCCACCCCCACCCTTGTCAGTTTGTCAAGCCTGCCAGAAACCCATCTTTATGAGCATTTTTCACAGGTCCACTAATCCCAGCATTAATAGGATTGCCATTTAGGGCGCTTCATCACACACCATTACTAGATAAACATCGGAAAGGTTTTAAGAGTACCTGTAAAGCATGATTGTGTAATAAGGAGCCCTGGTGGCGTAGTGGTTAGAATGAATTACTGCAGGATAATTCTGCTTACTGCCAGGAGTTCGATCCTGACCGGCTCAAGGTTGACTCAACCTTCCATTCTTCCGAGGTTGGTAAAATGAGGACCCAGATATTTTGGGGGCAATATACTGACTCTGTAATCCACTTGAGTGTTGTAAAGCACTGTGAGGTGGTATATAACTCTAAATGCCTTCGAGGTGGTGGTGTAGTGGTTAGAATGCAGTACTGCAGGCTACTTCAGCTGACTGCTAGCTGCAGTTCAGCAGTTCAAATCTCACCGGCTCAAGGTTGACTCAGCCTTCCATCCTTCTGAGGTGGCTAAAATGAGGACTCAGATTGTTGGGGGAAATACGCTGACTTTGTAAACTGCTTAGAGAGAGCTGTGAAAGCACCATGAAGCGGTATATAAGTCTAAGTGCTAGTGCTATTGCAATTATCAATGCGGTATATCAGTGGATTTCACCTTGATGTCCTCTGGATGTTTTGGTATTACAGCCAGTAGAATTCTTAGTTTGGTTGTGAATCAGGTAAGTATGACCGATTCCAATGCAAATGTATTCAAAATAAACTAGGTTTGTTTCTGGATAATGCATGAAATCAATTTTTGATTGCATTCACATTTGGCAGCTTTGCCATTCAAAGCTTGTTGATGACGAAGCTATCCAGTCAATCATGTCCAAGTTCTGGTGATTCTATGAACCAGCTCTCTCTACGTTTTCCAATTTTATGCAAGTTCTTTCAGTTGTTTTATGTTCTGGCTGGTGTCAGCTTTGATGGAGTCTAGCCGCTGTGGTTTTTGGCAGCCTCATTTCCTTTTACCACTGACCATTCCAAGCATAAATTTTCCAGTGAGTTTGACTGCATGACATGGCCAAAATAAGTAAGGTGGAATTTTCTGATTTTGCCTTCCAGCAAATGTGCCTATTTTTATATGCTGTGTTTGACACAGAACTAAATTCATGACGTATCTGTCTACACCATTATTCTCACTTCTTAGAAGTAATATACCTTCTTTTAGGAATTGCTGCAGCTACAATGAGCCAATAGCAGTCTAGATAGGCATGCCTTCCTAAGAAAACTGTTTGAGGTCCTGAGTATATTCTGAGTCTGTTGGAAAGAAAGATCACTCCCCATGAAAGATCACGAGAAATGATACTACCACTTTATAATGCCTTGGTAAGGCCACACTTGGAATACTGCATCCAATTTTGGTCACTACAATATAAAAAAGATGTTGAGACTCTGGAAAGAGTTCAGAGAAGAGCGACAAAAATGATTGCATGGGCTGAAGGTGAAAACATATGAAGAACATTTGCAGGAATTGGGTATGTCTAGCCTAGCGAACAGCAAGCAGCCTGATTAGCACAAGAAAAAAAATCTGCTTCTGCCTCCCAGCAATTTGCCTTGTGAAGCAAACAGCAAGTTTCACTTTCAGTTTCAGCATGGGCCTCCCGATCGTCAGCTGTTTCAGGCTGCAGGGATTGCTGTAGCCTATTGCCGCCTCTGCAAACCCCATTTTCCCCATTTGCTGCAAGGAGGTAAATTGCTGGGAGGCAGGGGCTAAAGGGTGGGGCACAGTGGGTGGGTGGGGCTATGTTCAGTGTATAAGACACACCCAAATTTTCATCTTCTTTTAGGGGGGGAAAAGATGCATCTTATACTCTGAAAAATATGGTATTTGCAAATGGGCTTCTTGTATTGATTGTTTTGGAGGCATTAGGGCTGAAAGGTCAGGAGATTACTATAAATAAGCAAAGAACCAAATGTATTTGGAATTAAGTTCTATTGCATTTAACAAGGTTTATTCACAGATAGGTGTATATAGGTGTGTATCCTGAGATGTTCTTCATTATTATTCCTATTATCACCTTTTTTTTTTTTTGCAAATGAATAAAACAGATAGCTAGAACTAGAAAGAGCCGAGGTGGCGCAGTGGTTAAATGCAGCACTGCAGGCTACTTCAGCTGACTGCAGTTCTGCAGTTCAAATCTCACCGGCTCAGGGTTGACTCAGCCTTCCATCTTTCCGAGGTGGGTAAAATGAGGACCCGGATTGTTGTTGGGGGCAATATGCTGACTCTGTAAACCGCTTAGAGAGGGCTGAAAGCCCTATGAAGCGGTATATAAGTCTAACTGCTAACTGCTTCAAAAGTCTGCCTTTGCAGTTGAGATCAATCCAAGCAAATGGATATTTGGGAAGCTGTAATAACCAAATTGTCTCTCTATAACTTTTTTAATTATTAAAAACAAACTGTTGAGATTAAAGGATAGTTTCTTGTTCTTGGCAGGATTTGTGTGGGGCTACCACCTGTGACACCCTGGGAATGGCAGATGTCGGCACCATGTGTGACCCCAAACGCAGTTGCTCCGTCATTGAGGATGATGGTCTTCCTTCCGCTTTTACTACAGCTCATGAGCTAGGTAAGGAGTTCGATCCTAGGTAGAGGCAGATATTTATCTCTCTGGGCACACTGAGAATATATCTGCTGAAACAAAACTCCGCATTGGTGACAGGAAAGGCATCTGGCTAGTAAACACTCAGCTCCATTCAGTTGCCAAGACTCTACCCCGCAAGGGATTATGGGATCATTAAAAGATGACGATGAGCTAGGTAAGGAATGGCTTCCAAAAAGGAGAGAAAGATGAAAGAGAAGACTTAGAAGAACATTGAAAGCTAGTTGGATGATTTTGGGCCAATCACCAGGAGACTGGGAATTCTAGTCCCGCCTTAGACATGAATGACAAATGGGTGACTTTGGGCTAATCTTCAAGAGGCTGTAAATTCTAATTCCACCTTAATCCTGAAAGCTGGTTGTGTGGTTTTGAGCCAATCTCTCTTTCTCAGTCCAACCAAGGTTACAGGACTGTTGCCGTGTGGAAAATAGGAGGAGGAAAGAGCATTAGCTGTGTTCATCACCTTGAAATATTTATAAAAATAATAAAGGTTGGGTAAGAATAAATTCTAAGATGGAAAAAAGAAACTTCTGAAGATTACAAAGACCTCCTCACGTTCAGAGATACCTACACCATTTGGGGCATTTCAGTTGTATGAATTTTGTGGTGGCCATCTATAGTTAGAAAAGGAAGAAAAGGGAGATTAGGCACTGGGAGAACCCAGATCTCCAGAAGATGTTTCCAAGTCAGCCTATTTCGCCTTTGAATCCAGCAGCATCAAATCATTGGCAGCTTGTGCTTTGCATCTGCCTGGTTTTGCATGCTTTCCTTCCGATGTTTGGCAAACCATTCTTGGCCAGAAGTTTCAATCCATCAGCCAGTGACTTTGGAAGTGGTCATTTAACCCAAGCCACAGCCCAGAGGCTGAGCCCACACCTGCGGAAGACACCTGCCAAACAGATTTTGCCAAGGAAACGGAGGTGTGTGTGTGTGTCTGTGTGTTTGTGTGTGTGTGTGTGTGTGTGTGGATTGAATCCATTTTTAACAGAAGAGTTCTCTCTCTAATTAGAGAAAGAAGCTTGACGTTTAAAATAAACCCCGGTACTTGATTCAGGAAGTCTTGACAATAGCAAAAGTTTAAGAATAGTTTTTGTGGGAAATGCAGCCTTGTAAATGAATGTTTGTGGAGGAGAAAGAGAGCAACAGCCTGCAATTTTACAATTCCCTCTGCCGGGGGAAGGCTCAGTTGGAACTGCTGGAGAACAGCTGTTCGAAAGAGAAGGAATCCCAAGCGGTTGGGGGGGGGGGAGACTCCTCGTTGCTGGCTGTTCTGTTCCCAGGCTTTCGAGATCCTGAAATAATAGGTAATTGCTGGGATGCGTTTGACACACACCTCAGTCCAGAGCACCAGAGCGTCTCCCGAAGTGACAAGTAAACGCCTTGGTTCTCATTTTAGAGAAGCAGAAAGAGGATTTGGGATTTAGAGGACCAAATCATCCCAATTCAAAAGAACTCCCAAAATTAGAAATAGTTTCACTGCAAATTAGATTCTTGTGGCCGGAAGAGACCAGCTCACGGCAAGGCCCTTTGCTGTCCTTTAGGTTTGGTGGCATTTTTATCTGAGTGGCCCATGCTGGATTAAATTCAGCTCCATTGTTTTGTTGTAGGACAACTTCTTCACAGAGTCAGCTATCACCATCGGCAACAGATATAATGCAATGTCTGAATAAAGCCAACCAAGCTGAACATTGTGAAGGCTGTACATTTTTCATTCTCCTGTCTCTAGACCAGGGGTGTCCAATTGTGGCACTTTGGGCCAATCATAGGAGACTGTGAATCCCACCTTAGGCATGAAAGATAGCTGGATGACTTTGAGCCAATCACAGGAGACTATGAGTTCTAGTCCCACCTTAGGCATGAAAGACATCTGGATGGGCCAATCACAGGAGACTATGAGTTCTAGTCCCACTTTAGGCATGAAAGACATCTGGATGGGCCAATCACAGGAGACTATGAGTTCTAGTCCCACTTTAGGCATGAAAGACATCTGGATGGGCCAATCACAGGAGACTATGAGTTCTAGTCCCACTTTAGGCATGAAAGACAGCTGGATGACTTTGAGCCAATCATCAGGATATTGTGAGTTCTAGTCCCACTTTAGGAGTAAAAGACAGCTGAGTGACTTTGGTTCAGTTACTCTCTCTCAGTTCAATACTCAGTTGATCTGAAAAAAAGGAAACCATGCACTTGTGGAAAAACACAAGAAGAAGAAAAAAGGGCTCCAAAGGCAATTTCTCAGTCCCAGTGAGAAACAGAATACTGGGGGAAATAGTTTATTCCTTAATCTAGCAGGAGGACAGTCCATATTCTGAAATTGCAATAAACAAATACAGTTCATTTCTGGCCTAGTTTAACTAGAAGTTCTTCCGCTGGTCCTTGTATGCCTCTGGCCTCCTTTCAGATGTTCCACCCAGAGTAGCTATGGGTTTGAATAAGGAATTCTCTTTCTCTCCTCCCTTGTTTCTCGTTTATTTCCCCCCTCAAGACATTCGAAAGGACAAGGATCTGCACACATCGTCAACGGTGTGAGTCTTGGCAAGGAAAACTGCTGGCTTGCAGGTCTTGCTGGCAGGAATTGAACGCTGCATCTGTTGTAAATTTATTGGCCTTTGTGGGGACAACCTGATTAGAACATGAGAAAGAAGATGTTTGTGGATCTAGGAAAGGGAATGCAGACTACAACAGTTTTGCTGCAGGCCCTTGCAAAGCTGCATGCAACAGAGGTCACTTCCTCCATGGATTGTGGAAGAAAAAGCAAAGAGGAGGCGGAGGACACAAATGAAACCTTGATAAAACCTCCAGACCATGCCAAGTCCAACAGATTTATCTTGTGGCCTGTTCAGGTCTTGATATCTCCTGTCCCTACTCTTTGCCTGGACAGCATAAAAGAGAGTTCTTTTTAAACCCTTTAATGACTCCTTCCATAATATACCGTATTTTTGGAGTATAAGAGGCATCTTTGTCCCTCAAAAAAGAGGCTGAAAATCTGGGTGCGTCTTATACACTGAATACAGCATTTTTTGCCTCCTAAAACCCCGCCCCCTTCACCAAAATGGCCATGCATAGCCTTTAGGAGGCTTCCAGAGTGTTCCTGGGGGCTGGGGAGGACAGAAATGAATGAAAAACAGGCTGTTTTTTGCTCATTTTTGCCCGCCCATCCCCCAGGAGCACTCTATAGGCCTCCTAAAGGCTATGAATGCCCCCCCCCCTTTTTGAAAAAAATGGGCCGTTTTTGGGAGGTCTGCAAAGTGCAAAAACTTTTTTTTAAATTTGCCTCTTCAAAACCTTGGTGCGTCTTATACTCCGGTGCATCTTATACTCCGAAAAATACCATATATGAATGGGTTGAATCTGGCCAGTTGTTCAGAGAAGAAAATTGGTTTAATCCAGGGGGTCAAACTCAATTTCATTGAGAGGTGCATCAAGGTTGTGTTTGACCTTGGGGGGCTGGGATGGGCATGGCCAGCTTGACATCACTCATATTGGTGGCGCCTATGGTGGCCTGAGCACCCCGCTGGCAAAAATGAGCAACGCTCTGCCAGCAAAAATGGAGCTCGTGAGGGCCGCCCTCCTGAGCACCATTTTCGCTGACAGGGGCACCGCAGGTCATTCCTTCGCTGTTTCCCTGCAGGCCAGATCTAAGCACTCCATGGGTTGGATCTGACCCCCAGGCCTTGAGTTTGATATCCTTAGTTTAATCAATAACCAAATTAACCATGATCATGAACACAAGCACTGTTCTTGAATTAGTAGGGCTTAAGTCTACTCTTTACAAACTTCCTTTTTGCATAGAGAAAAAAAAAAGGTTTCAGTAAGAGGAGACAAAGGGACGTGGTGGCTCAGTGGCTAAGACACTGAGCTTGTCGATCAGAAAGGTTGGCAGTTGGGCGGTTTGAATCCCTAGTGCCATGTAATGGAGTGAGCTCCCGTTACTTGTCCCAGCTTCTGCCAACCTAGCAGTTCGAAAGCATGTAAACAATGCAAGTAGAAAAATAGGAACCACCTTTGGTGGGAAGGTAACAGCATTCCGTGTGCCTTCGGCATTGAGTCATGCCGGCCACATGACCATGGAGATGTCTTCAAACAGCACTGACTTTTCGGCTTTGAAACGGAGATGAGCACCACCCCCTAGTGTTGGGAACCTCTAGCACATATGCAGGAGGGGAACATTTACATTTTAAGAGGAGACAGCGCATGGGAAGGAAAAACTAACAAACACTTCTATTCATTGATAATTTTATTTCTCTGGAAGTGCCAGAATGGTGCCTGCAATTTTCAAACCATAATTCTCTCTTTCTAGGACATGTGTTCAACATGCCCCATGACAACGTGAAGGCTTGTGAAGAAGTCTTCGGTAAACTGAAGACCAACCATATGATGTCTCCCACTCTCATCCAAATTGACCGTATCAACCCATGGTCACCTTGTAGCACGGCCATCATCACTGACTTCCTGGACAGCGGACATGGTAAGGAGCGGAGAGGAGGTAGTTTCGTGAAAGAGAGAAGGGGGTTAGAGACTATGGATGTGTGTCTGGAAACAGGCTGGTAAATAATACCCTTGTCACCAAAATGGGTCACGGTGGCTCAGGGGCTAAGATGCTGAGCTTGTCGATCAGAAAGGTCGGCAGTTTGGTGGTTCGAATCCCTAGCACCATGTAACGGAGTGAGCTCCCGTTACTTGTCCCATTTTCTGCCAACCTAGCAGTTTGAAAACATGTAAAAAATGTGTTCCATGTGCCTTTGGCATTTAGTCATGCTGGCCACATGACCATGGAAACGTCATTGGAGAGCACTGGCTCTTCGGCTTTGAAACTAGTCATGCATTTCCACATGTGTGTGGAGTTATTGTGGTTGTGTTTAAGAGTCTGACAGCCCAAGGATAGAAACCTATTTGTTTGGCTGGCTATGCTTTGATGTCTTCTGCCCAATGGTAATGCTGGAGCATCCCATCTCTGTGGGATTCTCCAAATCTTAAAGATGAGATCCAGAAAAACATGAGCAGACACTGTAGTCAAGATATAATTTAGATACCATCCTTTGTTCATGAGTAATAGATCTGCTGTTGCAGTTCAGAGCTGGTGATGTAATACTTTTTCAGACTGGTTCCATGTACTTTATTAAGCTGGGTTTTGTTCTAACAATAGTTTGTTAATAAGCCACAATGGGTTTACACTGAATGCAAAGCCATAAACCATGATTTATAAATCACTAGACATTGCTAAGCCAAAACTAGGCCAACCTCTTTAAGACTCAGGGTGATATGAGCCATAGTGGTGCAGTGGTTGGAATGCAGTACTGCAGGCTACTTGTGCTACCTGCCAGCTGCCTACAATTTGGCAGCTCAAATCTCACCAGGCTCACGGTTGACTCGGCCTTCCATCCTTCCAAGGTCGATAAAGTGAGGACCCAGATTATTGGGGGCAATATGCCGACTCTGTAAACTTCTCAGAGAGGGCAGTAAAACACTGTGAAGTGGTATATACTGTGTTTCGCCAAAAATAAGACAGGGTCTTATTTTCTGTTGACCCCTGAGATAAGCGCTTGGCCTTATTTTCGGGGAGCTCTTATTATTTGGCCTGCAGATTAGCTGATCCAGAGAGGTCCGGAAGTTCTGCCTCTGTTTCCGGCACTCTTGCCAGCCCAAGTGTTAGTGCCACCACTAAGAAAAGGGATTCGGTAGGTAGGGTTTGTGGGAGTAGCCTCCATGAAGCCATTCTGCATGGATGTTAGGTGTATGCGGGGTACGTAGGGCATGTTCACACTTTCCCCGCTCCAGGAAATGATGGGGACTGGCTGCACATGTGTTTAAATATTTTGGGGGAGGGCTTATTTGGGGAGGGGTATTTTAGTGCATGCGCTAAAAAGCCCGATTGTGCTTATTATCCAGGGAGGTCTTTTTTTGGGAGGGGGGTAAGTCTAAGTGCTATTGCTATATGCAAGGACAGTATTAGACTATGATTTTATTAAATCCAGGTTTGGAATTAGTTAAAAAAAAAAAAACCATTTAATTTGGATATTCATTTTGCTACCGAATACCCATGAAATGCTAAGATTCTTCCTTGAATTAAAAGAGAGAGAGAGAGAGAAAAAATCTTTTTGGAGAAAGGGAAGCAAAATCTTTCATCAAGATTTTTGTTAGCGTCTCGGATAGTTTCTGCACCTTTTTAACTCTTGATCTGATGCTATCAAGATGTTTATGTGACCCTACTCTTAGCAGTGTCGAGAAACGAAGTCCCTTAGAGATGGTAAACCTGGAGGGTGTCGGAGGTTCTTAAAACCAGCTGTCTAGAAAAATAGAATAATCACCCCATCAAGCTGTTTTGGCTCACTCCTCTACTTTTACTAAACAATTTACACTCGGAAAGCTGTAATTCATTAGAAATGCTAAGGCTGACTCTAACTAGGAACGCCCATTTTAGAAGGATCTGGAATTGTACAGCAACAGGTCAACTGTACTCTTCCTGGCCTGAAGAATTTTTTTCTTTTTTAAAAATGGGATTTATATCAGATCTCCGTGCCAACCTCCTACCTATACACCCAAATCAGTTCACAGTTTAAAGAAGGGAATCCTAATTACTGCGTTTTCACCTCTGACACTACTCTGTGATTAGTACCAGTGACAAAGAAAGAGAAATCATCCTGAAGAACCCTGGAATTGGCTGAACTGAGGCCCTTTTTAAATTTTCTTGCTTCAGCGCTGACACATACTAGAACTGAGGTATAGAGAGGGGGAGATAGAGATAGCTGGGGTGCTATAGCAAGGGTAAAATGCTCTGAAGTCTGCTACCGGTTTGCTTCATGCACACCACAGACGCTAAGAAGTCTTTTCTGAGTCTGCAAAGGTATGTAGAACCACAACTGGGTTTTTTTTTTGGGGGGGGGGGAAAGGAGAACTGGTAGTAAAAAAATGCTTTAAAAAGTTTTTAAAAAGTTCTGACAATCAGCTGTGCAACAATCAGCTGTGCCGCGTGATTTCTAGCGAATATAAATCGTGCGGCTCAGCTGATTGTCACTACTGGTTCACCTGAACCGGTAGCATTTTTTTACTATCCATTTGGGTGAACCGGCCCAAACCGGTAGCATTTCACCCTTGTGCTGTAGCCAAAACAAAATGCTTTCCCTTGGGAACCAAGGGCATTGCCGCAGGTGTTCAGAAGGGGGAGACTGGGGTCATCTAGCAACTGGACTGTGTGCTGATTGGATCATGTGCCTGAGGGTTTGGGGGAAGTGACCAACTTTCACTTTTAATTAAGTGAAAACCGCGGGAACTTTTCGAGTCGGTTTTCACCCGATCTGTGTCAATATGACATTTCCAGTAAAGCTACTCCTTGAGGACTTCACCTGCCTCGAAGTGTAAGGGCTACTGCTATAGATAGTTTCCTTGGGATGACCTCCCGTTGTATCCCTCTGCCCTCCCCAGGGGATTGCCTCTTGGACCAACCCACCAAGCCGATCTCCTTGCCTCAAGAACTTCCCGGTTCCAGCTACAACCTCAACCAGCAGTGTGAGCTGGCCTTTGGCATTGGCTCCAAGCCTTGCCCTTACATGCAGTACTGCACCAAGCTTTGGTGCACCGGGAAGGCTCGCGGCCACATCATGTGTCAGACCCGTCACTTCCCTTGGGCCGATGGCACCAGCTGTGGAGAAGGAAGGTTCTGCATAAAAGGTGCCTGTGTGGAGAGGCATAACATCAGTAAGTACCGGGTGAGTACTGATGGCTCTTTGTGTGGAGAACAGCCCAACGGCTGAAGTTCACCCAACTCTATAGTTCAGCCCACAGATACACTCTCGCATGCGCAAGCAAGCAGAATAAAGAATATGCTAAATAGGCAACCCAACATAATTTGATCCAGGCATGAATTATGCAGAATTCAGAATTTTGGAAGCATCTAAATTAACTATGGTACTCCATGTGGATTTGGATAGTTGTTCTCCCATTCTTCTGAGTCACTGCTGATTTGCTTTGTTATGGTTTGGTTTAATCCACTTAAGAAAATTGCAGAGATCTGCACGAGCAGTGGATTTAATTGCTTGTTAGTTTCCACAACGAGTCAGCTCTTTTGAAATGCTAGGGAGAAAAATGATTCCTCACCGGATGATTATTACAAATGCTGAAAAAGCATTGTGCGTGCATTTCATGGTCCTGGCTAGCCAATACATTGTGTTCCTTGAGGGAAAAATAGGGATGGCATCTTTGTGAGTTTTCTATCTGTTCAGTTTCTTTTTTTAATGCCCTGACAGGTGGATGGCAACTGGGGGAAGTGGGCACCTTATGGATCCTGCTCAAGGACGTGTGGTGGAGGTGTCCAGTTGGCTAAACGTCAATGCAACAATCCCCCTCCAGCCAACGAAGGGAAGTATTGTGAAGGGGTTCGAGTTAAGTACCGTTCCTGCAGTTTGGATCCCTGTTTTGCTTCAGGTGAGGTTTCAGATGCAGAACTGTCATGATGGCTGATCATCCCTTTGGAGGGGAGACCACGGCTAAACTAGGTTTTGGTCCCGGAGTTTAAGGCATTAGAAACCAGCTGATTTTTGAGCTCTAGTCTCCACTTTAAATATGAAAGCCGGTTGGGTGATTTGGGCCAATCACCAGGAGATGGTGAGACTTTTAGCCAATCATCAGGAGACAGAGTTTTAGTCCCACCTAAAGCATGAAAACTGGCTGGGTGACTTTGGGCCAATCACCAGGAGAGGGTGAGACTTTTAGCCAATCATCAGGAGACAGAGTTTTAGTCCCACCTAAAGCATGAAAACTGGCTGGGTGACTTTGGGCCAATCACCGGGAGATGGCAAGACTTTTAGCCAATCATCAGGAGACAGAATTTTAGTCCCACCTAAAGCATGAAAGCTGGGTGGGTGACTTTGGGCCAATCACCAGGAGAGGGTGAGTTCTAGTCTCACCTTAGAAAAGAAAGGCACCGGGTGACTTTAGCCAATCGTCAGGAGACAGAATTTTAATCTCACTTTAAAGCATAAAAGCTGGCTGGATGACTTTGTGCCAGTCACTCCCTCTCAGCCCAAATCACTTGCAGAGTTGTTGTTGTGGGACAATAGGAGAAGGAAGGGGATATTAGGTGAGGCATTAGGCATGTTGTGAGGAGGAAGGAGGTATTATATAACTCACCATCTTGAATTATTTATAAAAATAAAAGCAGGATAAAAATCTGGGCATTGTGGAGAGCAAATGTTCAGCTGTGCTGGATTTCCTCCTCTGCTTATGTTGAAGTCCATATTTATGAACCCGTGCAATGTTGTCTGAAGATTCACTAGACAGTCCCTCCATTTGTGATGGTAGGAACCAGCTCCTCAAAAACCATTTCTGAAACTGATTTCTCTTAGTTCCAGGGAAGAGTTTTCGGGAAG